TGTGCGTGTGTGCAGGGTGTGCTGGGTGTGTGCTGGGTGTGCTGGGTGTGTCCTGGGTGTGCTGGGTGTGTCCTGGGTGTGCTGGGTGTGTCCTGGGTGTGCTGGGTGTGTCCTAGGTGTGCTGGGTGTGTCCTGGGTGTGCAGGGTGTGCTGGGTGTGTGCTGGGTGTGTCCTGGGTGTGCTGGGTGTGCTGAGTGTGCTGAGCGTGTGTGCAGGGTGTGCTGTGTGTGTCCTAGGTGTCCTGGGTGTGTCCTGGGTGTCCTGTGTGTGTGCCGCCTGCATATGTGTTCTGGTGTGGTGCGTGTGCTGGGTGTGTCCTGGGTGTGCTGGGTGTGTCCTGGGTGTGCTGTGTGTGTCCTGGGTGTGCTGTGCGTGTGTGCAGGGTGTGCTGGGTGTGTGCTGGCTGTGCTGCCTGTGTGGCCAGGGTGCCCGCGGGCAGCGGCCTGCCGGGCCCTGCTCCCGGGGCGAGTGACCGCAGCGTGCTGTTCCAGGCAACGTCCGCATCTCGGACCTGGGGCTGGCCGTGGAGCTGCCGGAGGGGCAGAGCAAGACCAGGGGCTACGCAGGGACGCCAGGTGAGGCCGTGCTCAGGGGAGGTGCGGTGGGCCTCGCGCGGTCAACAGCCAGGGTCCACTGGCTGCCCCTGGGGCCGCCCGTGACGGCTTCCTGCCTGCTGAAGCCGCCCGCGGGGGCGTGACGAGCAGGGGCCCAGGGCAGGACCTCAGAGCCTGGGCTGCAGAGAAGGGTCTGTGCTGGCCTCGGGGAGTCGGGCCTGGGGCCACTGCGGGGTGTCTGCACACAGGCGTGTCACATGCACACACACACACACACACACACACTTGTGAACGTATCCATGACCCTGCCTGTGTGTGTCTGGGTGTGCAGGTATCTGACACGTGCCTCTGCATGCAGGTCTGTGCACTGGTGCGATCTGCGTGTCTGGCATGTGCGTGTGTGCGTCTGTCCTGTGTGTCCTGTGTGTGTCCCTGCGGGCAGGGAAGGAGCGGCAGAGCTGAGAAGGGCAGAGTCCAGTGGACACCCCTCCTTAGTGCTGTGTGACCTTGGCTGATTTGCTTAACGTCTCTGGCCGTGGGTGGACACCACGGGAGGTGTGGTGTGGACGTAGCTGCTTGCCTGGTGACTGAGCGGCAGCCAGAACAGAGGTGGACCCTGCCTGGAGGGATGCGATAGCTGCATGACCACTAGAGGGCCCCGTTGCCCGCGCTCTGCCGTCAACCTGCGGGTCAGGAGCCAGTCTCTGGCCTTGACTCCCAGCAGCTCCCTGGTCAGCTGAGGCTGGCGGCAGAGGCGGGCCTGGCTCCCTGCCAAGGTCTCTGTTGGCTGAGGATGGTGTCTTCCGTGTGCAGGGCGGGCACAGGGTGAGGTGCCCGGGCGCTCAGGACCCACCACAGCATGTTGCTGGGCGGGCCACACGTCCTGTCGGTGGGCCCAGGGCCTGGACGGGCAGGATGGGCTGCGCCACACTGACACTCAGCTGCAGCTGTGTCTCTGCTACCAGTGTGCTGGCCCTGGTCGGTGCCCAGGGGTCCGTGGGGGAGGTGGGCAGGACCCTCTGTGATGGAACCACCTGACCCCCCAGGCGAGGATGGCCCTGGTGGCAGTTCAGGGCAGGCCTGTGGGCCCAGCTGGCCACTTGCCTCCTGGTCAGCCGGAGGAGAGGAGCTCTGCTCCCTCCTCTGCACAGTGAGGGTTGACTGGTGGCCCTGGAGGGTGCAGGAGTGGGGTCAGCTCAGCCGGTGCTGGACAGGTGCTGCCAGGCAGCGCCCGGCTGAGGTCTCCCTGCAGGACGCCTGCCCTGCTCTGGGAGCGTCCCGTGGGTCTCGGCCGGGCCAAGGTGCCTGGCCCGTTCCTGGGGTGCCTGGCTGTCCTTTGGGGGGGCCTGGCCAGGGTCTGTGCTCTTGGTCCTTGCCTGGAGTGAGTGAGAAGCCCGCAGGGCCGTCTCTGCCCTCGGCTGGCTTGCCCGGCGTGTCCTGCAGGGTCCAGGGAGGGAGAGGAGGCCCACCCCATGGGTGCAGGGCTCGGGTTCCCGGCCATGGGACACTTGGCCAGGGAACACGGGCTGAGCCGGGCACTGTCGTTGTCAGCCCGGGGTGCTGCAGGCCTCCAGGGGTGGAGAGCAGCAGGTGCCAGTGTCCCCGAGGGTCAGCAGTGCTGAGACCCTGCGGTGCGGCTCGCTCAACCTGCAGCTGTGTCCCCGCAGGCTTCATGGCCCCCGAGCTCCTGCTCGGCGAGGACTACGACTGCTCTGTGGACTACTTTGCCTTGGGGGCCACCCTGTACGAGATGATCGCCGCTAGAGGTCCTTTCCGAGCCCGAGGAGAGAAGGTGGGCGCGGCCCAGTGGGGGTCTTGCCGTGGCCCCGTTGGCTGGGACATCGTGGGGTGGTTTAGAGGACCACTGGGGGTGCAGGCTCAGGTCAGGGGTCTTGCTCCTGGTGTTGCTCTCGAGGGTGACACCCTAGGACCCTAGAGACCACCCAGGCTGCCAGCTCCCAAGGCTGCAGGTCCTTTTGCCCCAGAATGAGAGGTGGCAGAGGAAGTGTCCCCACAGAGCCTGCTGCCCTCCCCTTCTGAGTGGCAGACTGAGACCTGAGACTCATTCATGGGCCCTGTTCACAAAAGGGCTGCTGCTGCACCATCCCAAGGCCTGGCCACCCACGGCTCCGTAGCTCCCTGGCTGCCAGGCCGCTGTTGGGCACACAGGTCACAGTGGCTCATGCTCCTGGGCAGCTGCTACTTTTCAATTTAGTACAGCCAGCTCCCCTCCTCCGCACACTTCAAAATCCTGCTGCCTAGCATGGGCACAGAGCTGACCTGAATGTCCTGGAGGGAGGTGGACCTCTCGTGGTTCCTGTTCAGCCCCGTCCCCCAAAGCATCTCAGAACTTTGGCTTTCCTGCCACTCAAACAAGAAAGAGCCCCTGAAGGTGGCTCTGCCGGGCTCATGGCCAGCAGGGTGGCTCTAGGTGTACTCCCTCCACAGGTGTGGACGGAGCCCGGGGGCTGTGTGGCCGAGGCAGGGCAGAGCTAGAGCCAGGGGCCAGGATCTCTGTGGTGTCCTGCCAATGGGAGCAGCACCTCACAGTGCCCTCAAATGCAGCCCTGTCCAGCTCTGAACCCACCACCCCACGGCTGCCTGGGGGCCTGGCCCTGACTGGTGGGGTTCAGTCCCCTATGCTGGTCTCCCCAGGATGGGCGTTGGAACAGGCTGAATTCTGAGCTCCTGGTGGTCAGTGTCCACGCCCCCCGTGCTCAGTCACTCTGCATCCACCTCTACCAGTGTGGCAGGGGACTCGCCTGCGGGTGGGCTGGGGTGTCGGGGAGGAGCGTCCAGCCTGGCCT